GGTTGCACTGGTTGCAGCCGGGACCTAGCTCTGGCGCACTACCACTGTCCTGAAATCATCAGTCTGTAATGTTTTATAAAAACTGTCACATGACAATAAACAAAAATGTATCAGTACTTGTATCTGTGAGTACTTGGACGAGTATCAGTACTTGTACTTGAAAACAATATATATCATGCATTAAACCAGGAATGCACAAATCCCAGGAGATCCGTATGTTCCTGAAAAATGTCAGCTGCCGCCTAACTTTTGAATTATTCTCTAATCTAGTCTTGGAGCTGAAAAGGTATCTGTACATGTACTTGTACCGAGTACGGTACTTGGTATCTGAAAATCCCTACTGTATATGGTGAGGCTATGATTTATCTTTGCAACAAAAAATACATATTAATGTGTTTTTGGATAAAACCATTGTCTTGTGATTGTAATTACAAGTAAGATTTCCTTTATCATTTGATCATCTAGATGATGACAATTAGGTGGCCTTCATTGCAGAGGTATGGCTTTTATAATGATTTATATAATAATTGCATAACATTCCTAATTCTTGATTAGTAGTCATGCTGATCCTCCATATTCCTGTAATTACTATTACTTTGTTATGTTTAGAAACACTTTTTTATAGTTTGGGATATTTGTTATTAATTTTACATAGCTACATATCTACATATGGGACTACTGTCTAGTCCCTTTGTGCTTATTTTGACCTAGCTATTCTATTCCATGTAGTGTAGTAGATGCTTGGGACCAAGGGAGTCAAAGGCTATGTGCGTGCAGGCCCAGCGATGCAATTCCAGCTCTTTGCAAATCAAGAGCCTAATGAATGGCAGGAAAAGATCTATTTTGAATTCCTTCATGACTTGTGCAGGGGACCTCATTATGAAATGGGAATTCTACTGTAATTAAAGCAGCCTTGAAGTAAAAAACCATTTTGGGTATTTTGTAATATTGAAAGAACATAGCCTGTGTCATTCATTTATTCATTGTCAAGGCTGCTCTGTTTACCCAAAAGACTATTTATTATTTTCATTAATCATAAAATGAAAAAAAAAAAGGAGCAGTGCGTTTTCATTATTGTAGGACTTGTTTTTCGCTAGTGACATACAGATCAGTATTGCATCATGGAAACTTCCAATCAGCATTAGCCTAGAGCATTACCCTAGACAAGTTACAGATTTAACTAGGCCTGTGTCTGGAATTACTATTTTCTTCATACCCTGCATTTCAAAAACCTTTGTTTATTTCCCGTGGAAATTGTTTGATAGGATGGCTGATGTTTAAAGGGTTGTCAGAAAAGATAGCAAACCACCCAAATGCAGTACTTGTATCAAAGCTGCTATGCCTATAGGAACTCTTTCCAAGTCAAACTAAACCCCACTAATCACTAGTTACGTCTAATTGGCCAATGTAATCTTAGAATAAAAAAAAAAAAGAGGAGCTGTATCTAAACACCTAATGTTGTGAAAGCTGCCAGTGGTGAGGGTGGGTACAGACATGGTGCACCAATGCAAATCAGTTCTGAGTGTCAGATTTAGAAGACAAATTTTTGAATACATTTGGAGGTCTACGCATCTTTGTCTACACATCTTTGTTATTAGAAACTAAAGAAAAGTGTTTTGTTTAGAGCAGAGCTTTCCTTTAGTAAAATATTTAGGAGCACAGTTAAATCTTCATGGATAGTTTGTCTTAACAGATCCTATCCACAGTCCCAGGTGAAGTCATCTATATCAGTCTCCAGCTAAGACCTCAGTGTTCTGTGTGCTGATTTATACGTAAGGTCCTTGGGAACTTAGAAATGATAGCCAGACCTTTTCCCACAAAATCTTGCTAATGGAAACCTGTACTTCAGAATGTAAACTTTTTGTCTTGGAATGCTAGTTATAGGGCTTTTTTCTTGATGCAGAAGCTTTAATACTTTCAAAATCACTCATCTGGAACAAGTCAGAACCTCTTAAGCCAACAATGGGTGATAATAGCATGCTCTGCTTTTTAAGAGCACAAAAACATATGTCAGTGCGTGATAGAATGGTTTGTAAAATTACCTGGTATACAAGTCAGATATTTTAAAAAGGAAAGGGAAATTGAGTGTTAATGGAACCCCAAGCATAGGATTGCCAAAAGTTGGGTACTAACAGTTTTTAGATGAGGGGAATTCTTCTGGTAAAGACAACCATATAAAAGGGTATGTCCACTCATTTCCTGCTGTGTCTCCAAGACAGAAAGTCTAGGCCAATCTCCTCAACTGGACAAAAAAACTGATACAGGTTGTAATAATTACCTACTCTATCCGAAACTAAAATAGTTTTTGTTATAGGTATGCTTTAATGCTGCTGGCGAAAGTATATGATTAATGTCAGTATAACATATTTAGGTCTTCAACGGCTTGAACACCCACTGCTTTTATGAAATGTAAATGATGGAATTGTAAGAGTTAAGCTAGTTATATATTTCTTACCAAATAATTATCCACACAAACCCCACTCAGTTCAATGGAGTACTAGTTATCACTCGGTGAAAGATTCCTGATTATCTAGCCAACAGCTAGTGAAAATCTAGCAGCAGAATATGTCTACTCTTAAAAACTACTGGTGTAAGAATGGATCCGGCTAGTAATGGAGAGGCTGTCCTCTGTGTCTCACTTTCTTTTCAATATATTCCAAAGCCAGTAATAAGGATTATTTAGGGTTTAGGCCGGATACAGGAGCAGAATACATTACAATAGTGTGCACACTGGGGATTAATATGAGAAGACTCCAGGCTGCTTTTGATGACTTTGCACTCATAATGCCAGAGAAATTCTTTGAAACACAGAAGACATAGGGATTATGAGGGCGTTGAGGCATTACAACAGAAGCCGCAACCCGACAACTGACACTACAAGCCCCACAATGCAGCAGTGCACATGTCCTTAGAGCCGTGCTGAAAGTGTATGATACCCAATTATATTTATTCATCAGTACATTGCTAACTGATTTGTGATCTGGATCTTTTTCTTAGAGAGATTTATATGAGGAGTACTGTTTAAGATACAGGTTAACAATAGCAGATTTCTTGACTTTTTATTGTCAATTTACGGATTGGGGCTTCATTCAAAATTAGCCACATTTGCCAATACAAGCAGCTCCATTCAAGGCATGTTTGCGGCCAGTTGGTGGTAGGGTCATTTTTTTAATGAGTTTGGCATACTCGGATCGGTGAATAAACACATTCTTTGCTATGAATCTACTTTCTACTATTTAGATGACTATCCATCTATGTGTAGATTTAATTTGTTCTACCTAGATATTTTTTGAAATAAGTGAAAAATGCCACTTAAAGCCGAACTCCATCCAAAACTTTTAATTAAGTCTTGGACAGAGTGGGCATGGGTTAAAGCTAGGGATGCACCAATACCAATACTAGTATCGATATCAGTGCCGATACGGAGTATTTGGGTGAGTACCCGTACTCACCCAAATGCTCCAATGCCTAGCCTGATACTTCCTGTATCAGTTAATCATTCACTTGTGACGAGAGAGCATGGAGCCGACTTCCCGGCCAATCAGGAAGCCGAGCAGCGTGTAATGACGTGCTGCCCGGCTTCCTGATTGGTCGGGAAGCTGGCCAATCAGGAAGCCAGGCGCCGTGTAATGACGCAGCACCCGGCATTCTGATTAGCCGGGAAGCCGGCTTCATACTCCCTCGCCATCTCATGATGAGGGAGCATGGAGCCGGCCTCCCGGCCAATCAGGAAGCAGGATGCCGCGTCATTACACGTGCCCGGCTTCCATGATTGGCCAGCATGCCAGCTCCATGCTTTCTCGTCACATAGTGACGAGAAGCATGGGGCGGCTTTCTTGTTAATCGGGAAGCCGGGTGGCGAGTCTTTACACGCTGCCTAGCTTCCCGGCTAATCAGGAAGCCAGATGGCGAGTCATTACAGGTGGCGAGTCATTATGGGGCTTCCTGTACTCGGTAATTGGTATCGGCGAGTACCGAAAAAAAATATCGGTACTCGTACTCGGTACCAAAATACCGGTATCGGAGCATCCCTTGTTAAAGCTACTGATTTTATTGCTGTCTGTGTCAATAAAGGGAAGACATGTGTTAGATTTAGGCTTTAAGAATAATGTACATACTGCAAATGTTAAAGCTCCTGTATACCTTGCTACTCTTTAGTTCACTTCCTACCTTCATAGATGGACAATCTTACAACTGTAAGGAGGGCAGGAGTTTGGTTGTTGTTGAGACAGCTGTTACGCAATGACTTGCACTGGTTTCCAGAGTGTGCTTAGATGAAAGCAAGTAAAATCTTTAGCTAGGTACAGAAATGTACAGCTATCGATAAAAGGATTATTTTGTTTGATCTATGCTGGCAATAGACACTAGAGAAGGGCTGGACATGCGAATGATCTCCAACCTTCTCTGGGAAACGTCCCTGTCAAGAGCTTCTGACTGTATCTTGGCATAGAGGATAGAATGGATAGAGGGTAGAATGGGGAGGTGCTCTACAGGTACATCTGGACATTTTTTAAAGGGAAACATAATAGTGTTCAGGGAAGATTATCTAAACTGCACTGAAGGTAATTTCCAAGCCCTGTCTGTGGTTTCTGTAGATGCCACATATACATAAAATCTTCTGGGATTGGAAGACTATTGTCTATGGGCATGTTAATCACTGTGGGTACAGAATGATTAACTAGCAAGCTACTACGCTAAAACAAAAATAACCTTACACTGCACACCTCTGATAATATATAGCACAATTCACACATTTCATGTGATCAGCTCTGCTTCTGAAATAAGCACATCACTTTTTTAGTAATGGTCAAGACATGTTATTCAGTAGCCTTTCTAAATGGACATAATACCATACTAAATCATAAAAATCAGTAAATGCCATCTATAAACTAATTTTTTATAACAAGATTTAAACAAACACTTTGTGAAAGCAGCTGATGAGTTTGGACCGACTTACCTTACGCCCATATATCTGGAGGAGGTTTTTCCTTAAAAGCTAGATGGACGCCTCCAAAGATGGTGTTCTGGAAGAACTGGTATACCAACTAAATTCTGTTATAAAATAGTAATATTTAACAAATATTATTATGCATCTGGACACATATAATATGATGTCACTTGGTTATTAGCTCTGCAGTTTACAGAGAACTAGCGACATCCCATATTTGTTTGTAATAGATATTGACTGTATATCTGTCTGGATATCTGCCATATTTGACCAGCAGGAAGTCTGTAGGAGAGCAATGTCCATCCTTGGGAGTGTTCCAGCTTCTTTTTTGTTGGATATAGTCTAATTTAGCAGTGGGGTTACTGATCATTATATTGTCTAGACCAGTGACACCATCTCTAAAACTCTTTAGATGAGTATAGGTCTAAACAAATAACAAATGGGATAGGGAAAGCTCAATGAAGGCCACTAGCCTACATGAACTTTAGCTGACCTTAAGCTGTCTTTTTCCACATCAAAACCATATTGGATAATTAAAATAAATGTATTGTGATGATGAAGTTTAATTTATGAGTATTTATAGTTACAATAAAGGGCCCCAGGAGTTCAGCGGTAAACAACTTCATATTTGTAGCGGGTCAATTTACTAAAGGGTAAGGATATAGAGAAGTGCATAGCTACCTAGGGTTATAACCTGCATTTTGCCTCTCCTGCCTTATGTATATCATTTGTTTTTCTCTCATGGCAGGGGAGCCTCCAGGCCTATCAGCGCATGTCCCGTCCCCTGTCCTCCAGACCTCAACCTAAGGTACCTCATCATTGTTTATTGTGGGGAAGGATGTAACGTTTAAGTTTGTGGCACCCACTTACACTAAAGATTTACCTTACTTTTACATTAACAAAAAGATTGACAACTGACTTAAATAACCCCTGGAAAAAGGCATGATTTTAAATAAAAATATACCTATTATATTAGGAAATCGTAAGGCTGCAGTAAAATGGAACAAGGAGGCTATGTTCAGAATTGTAAATAAAATTGGATGTATGTTTCAGGAACGGGGAAGAGCCACGGCTGATATTGGGGAATATTGTTCCTGCAGGCTGTAGGATAGGGTATAAACTCAAGCTGTAGAATAAGGCTAAGTATCTGATCTATCATGGGTAAAAACATGCATAGGTCTATAGAGACAAGGTTAATCAGGAACAAGGAAAATTATAATTTTCTTTTTTATCTTCTAGCTTATACAACTCTACACAAAAAAACTTACATTGTCTAGTGTGTTCCTTTTAATAACATTAGGTAGCTACCACCGGTACTGTGCAGTGAGCATTTTCTATTTTAATGCAGCATATACACTGAGTGGCCAGTTTATTATGACCACCTGACTTTTGTAGGCAAATTAGCTAGTTAGCTATAATTTCGCGCTGAAGTTGCTAGAGGGCCAGGCCATTATAAATAGGGAAGCAGGTTGTTTACCACGACAGTAGAAGTTATTTTTTTCTGAAGATATGGGTAAACAACGTGATTTAACAGCCTTTGGACGTGGGATGATTGTTGCCGCTCAAGCCATGGAGCGAGTATCAGCAAAACAGCAGAATTTGTTAAATGTTCAAGAGCAGCTGTTGTTAAAGTGTTTAAAGACTGGACTGTCAGCCGAAAATCTGGGTCTGAAAGTGCGAATTGTGGCCGTCAGCGACTAGTCAATGTTAGGGCAGAACGGAGAGCGGCAAGACTGGTACAAGACAACAGAAGGGCAACACTGAAGTGTCAGATTCCCCGCATCACCTTTCAACATCTCGTGGAGTCACGAGGCGGCCCAACGAAGTCATCTCGTGGCCCAACGAAGTACTGATGGGGTGGTCATAATAATCTGGCCACTCAGTGTAGATTATACCTTCCCCTACACAGCACATTACATCTATGACTAAATAGAGACGCAGCAAATAACATTTGCTGTATGCTTATGAGTACTAAGGAGGGGTCAAAGGGGTATGCTTGTCAAAGTGTATAAGCGCATGTCCCGTCCCCTGTCCTCCAGACCTCAACCTAAGGTACCTCATCATTGTTTATTGTGGGGAAGGATGTAACGTTTAAGTTTGTGGCACCCACTTACACTAAAGATTTACCTTACTTTTACATTAACAAAAAGATTGACAACTGACTTAAATAACCCCTGGAAAAAGGCATGATTTTAAATAAAAATATACCTATTATATTAGGAAATCGTAAGGCTGCAGTAAAATGGAACAAGGAGGCTATGTTCAGAATTGTAAATAAAATTGGATGTATGTTTCAGGAACGGGGAAGAGCCACGGCTGATATTGGGGAATATTGTTCCTGCAGGCTGTAGGATAGGGTATAAACTCAAGCTGTAGAATAAGGCTAAGTATCTGATCTATCATGGGTAAAAACATGCATAGGTCTATAGAGACAAGGTTAATCAGGAACAAGGAAAATTATAATTTTCTTTTTTATCTTCTAGCTTATACAACTCTACACAAAAAAACTTACATTGTCTAGTGTGTTCCTTTTAATAACATTAGGTAGCTACCACCGGTACTGTGCAGTGAGCATTTTCTATTTTAATGCAGCATATACACTGAGTGGCCAGTTTATTATGACCACCTGACTTTTGTAGGCAAATTAGCTAGTTAGCTATAATTTCGCGCTGAAGTTGCTAGAGGGCCAGGCCATTATAAATAGGGAAGCAGGTTGTTTACCACGACAGTAGAAGTTATTTTTTTCTGAAGATATGGGTAAACAACGTGATTTAACAGCCTTTGGACGTGGGATGATTGTTGCCGCTCAAGCCATGGAGCGAGTATCAGCAAAACAGCAGAATTTGTTAAATGTTCAAGAGCAGCTGTTGTTAAAGTGTTTAAAGACTGGACTGTCAGCCGAAAATCTGGGTCTGAAAGTGCGAATTGTGGCCGTCAGCGACTAGTCAATGTTAGGGCAGAACGGAGAGCGGCAAGACTGGTACAAGACAACAGAAGGGCAACACTGAAGTGTCAGATTCCCCGCATCACCTTTCAACATCTCGTGGAGTCACGAGGCGGCCCAACGAAGTCATCTCGTGGCCCAACGAAGTACTGATGGGGTGGTCATAATAATCTGGCCACTCAGTGTAGATTATACCTTCCCCTACACAGCACATTACATCTATGACTAAATAGAGACGCAGCAAATAACATTTGCTGTATGCTTATGAGTACTAAGGAGGGGTCAAAGGGGTATGCTTGTCAAAGTGTATCTTACATTTTTTAGAAATAAAACACCTCAGATAACACACAATACGAGGCAATCAATTATATTAATTGACAAAATTAATAAAAATTAATATATTAAGAAATATAGGTCTACTTAGCCATAGGCAGAGGTGCCCCAGCTTACGCCAGCTACGAATTGGACCTGAATGATCTCTACATTTTAGTTTTCCCATCAATCTTGCCATGACAGTTGATGAACAGAGAAGATGGGCAGAGTTTAACAACTTGCATTTTTCATAACCAATATATATATAACAGATTGCTGCAATATACATTATGTACTATAGTACATTTGTTGTAGGTGCTGGTGATTCTTGACTTGGAGGCTTTGGCACCAGAAACAAGTTAAAAAGCATCTTCCAAATTGTTCTTTACATGTAACCTGTCCTTAACTGTTTACCTAACACTTAACTTTCCCTTTACCCAAAAACTTGACTCTAGCCTAAAACGTACAGTTACCCATTGCGCCTTTGCGTGTGATTTAACGATAAAAGGCTTCCTAACCCTTCACTTACTTTCCACTACAACACTAAATTAATCCCTAAAGCTGAACATTCTACCAGGTGCATGTGTTTTACATTACAGGGAATGATTACCCACCTGAGGCTGTTTAATGAATGTCACATTCACCGCTCTACATGACTAGACAGCCGGCAGCTCCTGAAGGCAATATATACCCTTTTCAATCATTTTATTGATAAATGTAATCGAGCTTGACC